ATACTCCCAAAATAATTCCGCAGAAATTCTGAGATTTTTGCCAAAATTCTTTGCAGAAATAGCCAAAAATGTCCACAGATTCCGTCTGGCCCTAGTTATAGCACATAGTTCGATTAGTGTCATTGTGTTGTCATGCTGTCCACGTTTTCTCTGGAATTTCATGTCATTTCGGGTGTTTAGGGTGTTTTCGGGTGTTTATTTTTAATTTTTTGACGTTTACTGTAGCTTGGCACTTTCACTTTCATTCAGGAACATTTCATGCATGTCCACCGTGACAAACGAGATATTGGATGCATGTATGAAGTGAGTACTGCTGGAAGAGTGTTGTTTTAATGTAGTTTGATACTGCACGCCGAATGGAAAAATAAAACTCTGCATTCCACCTTGCAGGTGTCTGTGGTCCTTTACTCACTTGGTAGGTGCAGAGAATAGTGTCAAACAACTTTGTTTATGGAATTTCCTGTCACAAAATGCTGCAAAAGTTCTACACTACGGTAATAGTTTGATTACGGTGTTTACATGTCCGGACTGCACTTCAATGATGCGACTAAAATAGGCATACATATTAATCCAATTTCTCTTTAGTTTGATTATAACTATAGTCGGACTAAGGTCATTAAAAATTGCTTTTTACATGGTAGACCAGTGGTCCTCAAACACTAGGCTGCGGTTCGGTACCGTTCCGTGGATCAATTGGTACTAGGCCACACAAAAAAATTACAAATTATTTCCGTTTTATTTATTATCTGAGTCTGAACGATCTTTTATTTTGAAAAATGACCGTATTCTCTCGTTACATCTCTGTCGCTTGAGAGCCCAAATTTCACCCACGAGCAGCAAAATGAGTAAGAAACAGACGTCACTGAATAGTTTTTTTGCTGAGGAGAAAAAGTCGAGTCAAGGACCCTTGAACTGCCAAGCAATTGGATCCGCAACCCAGTTGTCAACAAACAAATCATGTGAATCCACCATGGCTGTGCAAGACATACCTGCTAACACTGTTTTTTTCCGGAAATCTCCCGTATTTCAGACCAATCTCCCGCAACCCTCGCATTTAGTTATTTCTCCTGAAACACTCTCGTAATTTAACCCCGTTCACATATCGTGTCTTTTCTAGAGTTTGCACGAGTTTGTTATTTCCAATGGAGGTGCGCAGCCAGTTGAATGAATCTCGTGAGTGCACCATGAGTCACGCGATAAGAATTCACCCATCAGCTTGAGCTTGAATGGAATATACAGAATTCGGTAAGACTAATTATCTCAGACAAACACAGAAATAAAACTTTTAGCAGAGTGACAGCAATGTTTCATTTGTTAATGGTCACCTAGTAACCCCTCCTTCCCCCATGGTAAAATTGTAGAGCACTGACCTATCAGGGTATTGTCTAAATTATATTAAAATGAGATTATTGGTGTCCATGTAACTGTATCCGATGTGAACAAACAAACCCCCCCACCCCTTTGCTCCACTGGAGTGATTTACTGTTCTTCTTTGCTGTCTGATTGCTTTCTTAACATAACTTGTTTGCATATTTCAGCATCCATAATAAAATCGTTAGAATTTTTTGACTTGTTTTTTATTATCTCATTCCAGCGTACTTGCTTAACATCATTCTCCATAAGGGATTATGATTTTTTGATTATCTTGAAACTAATATAAGATTATGATTTAATAGACCTTTTATTAGGTTGTACGTTTTCACAAAGGGAGGCACGGTGGCTCAGTGGTTAGCCCTGTCACCTCACAGCAAGAAGGTCGCTAATTCAAGTCCTGGCTGGGCCAGTTGGCATTTCTGTGTGGAGTTTGCATGTTCTCCCCATGTTGGCTCCAGGTGCTTTGGTTTTCCCTACAGTCTGAACACATGCGCTATAGGTGAACTGAATAAGCCAAATTGGGTGTAGAGTATGAGTGTGAATGCAAGAGTGGATAGGTTTCCCAGTGTTGAGTTGCAGCTGGAAGGGCGTCCGCTGCGTAAAACAAATGCTTGATAATTGGCGGTTCATTCCGCTCTGGTGACCCCTGATTGATAAAGAGACTAAGCCGAAAATGAATGAATGAATGAATGAATGAATGTGTGTGAATGAGTCTATGGGTGTTTTCCAGTCCTGGGTTGCAACTAGAAGACCATCCACTGCGTAAAACATGCTAGAATAGTTGGCGATTCATTCCATTGTGGCGACCCCTGATAAATGAAGGACCAAGTCAAAGGAAAATGAATGAAGGATTATTAAATCATTCATTATCAAATGGATGAATCTTGATTATTGGTTAAAAATTAGATCTTATAATGTTTGGGAGCCATTGGTTATTTTTGTGGGTTTACTTATTATTTGTGTCATTTGGAATAAATTCATATAGTTTAATTTCTTCCGATCTTCCTCATCCACTCATGTTAAAATTACTTACTGTATAGAAAAATGTCTTCAAATAGTTTAAGCATTATAACGAACCTAGTATCAAATACATGTGTAGTGTTTGTATAGTTGATGAGTACCGCAAATGGCGTTTGAGGAGAAAGCATGATTGTATCCCCACACATTCCATTGGATTAACACAGATATTATATGAATAATTTCCCTGATGTACATCAAAACCTTTCCCCATTTTCTTAACCCTTATCGCATCTATAAACTTTATAACCTAGAACAGTAAATACTGACAAAGTGAGTTCGTTAATAAGTGCTTAATCTATTCCATCATTGATATACACTCGGCATGTTTAAGTGACCTCTAAAAATCCCATCAGTCAGGCTTTGATTTACAGGACAGTCATACCATTAGAGGGTCACACCATCCTTAAAGAATGTATGAGTATGTTTGCCCATGAAGGTGACACACCCAAGTTACATCAAATCAGAACCACCAATCTTTCAGACCTTAGTAGTGAAGATTTTAGCCATGCATTTGCTTCAGACTTCCTACTTCATAAGAAAACGAAAGTGCGATATTGGGCTGCCAATATACTTCCTCATCATACCAAAGGCAAATGGATAGCCCTGTATGGCGTTAACTGTGTTGATTTAGGTCAACTCAGATTTCATACCAGTCAGTTTGAAATTATTAGTTAATTAAAATCTTTAATTCACTGCTGTTAGTGTCAATAACAAAGTGCTTTAGAAATAGAACAAACCTCAATTTTATAGAAGAAAGAAAACTTTTACTCTGTCATCTGTTATCTCAGTCTGCCTGATCTTTATCTTTATTTTTCTGCTAAACTCCTATGATTTGCTGACAAACCATTTGGAATATTGATGTGCCAATGTTGTAAATAATTAAAGACATTTCTGAAAGAATGATGTGTTCTGTGGTTGCGTGATGGGCTCTTATTCTGAGAACATTTCTATGCCCACAAACATGGCATGAGACAAAATGAAATGTGATTGGTTGGTTAACCTGTCAGTCATTTAACAGTGGGTGGACCATGACCGTTCAAAGTTTCCAGCCGTTAGTCTGAGGTCTGGCTATGCAAGTCCAACAGGCCTTCTTGTCCAACATCAGTGCCTGACTTCAAATGTGATTCTAGAAAAATGGATTGCACATTCGTCACAGAAAGAAGGTCCCTGGTTCGAGCCTCGGCTGGGTCTGTTGGCTTTTTTGCGTGTTTGCATGTTCTCCCCGTGTTGGCGTAGGTTTCCTCCGGGTGCTCTGGTTTCCCCCACAAGTCCAAGGACGTGGTACAGGTGAATTGGGTATGCTAAAATTGATCGTAGTGTATGAGTGTGTGTGTGAATGAGTGTTTATGGGAGTTTCCCAGTGATGGGTTACAGCTGAAAGGGCATCCGCTGCGTAAAACATGTGCTGGATTAGTTGGCGGTTCATTCCGCTGTGGCGAACTCAGATTAATAAAGGGACTAAGCCGAAAAGAAAATGAATGAAGAAATTAATAATTCTAGCCAACCTTTTTATGTAAATAGATTGATTAATTCAATAGATATGCTTTTACAAAATGTTTAGATTTTTTTCCCCAAACTTATTTAAATCACAATCTTATACTGTGATTAAAAAAAAAGTTATACTGAATAAAAAGCCTATGTATAGAATTATATTTGGCTTTTGGCACATTATTTAAAATATGTAGCTAAGAAATAGCTAATAAAATCTTTTTTTTTTTTGGTGGGGCTAGTGAAAATATTTGCTGAGCAAGTAAAAATCTGAACCACTGGCCCGATTGGGTCAATAGAAAAAATCCTTAGCGTTGAATCCTGCTAAAGCGCAATGATTCATTGGTGCTGTTTAGACTCAGTTATTAACTTGCCTGAGTCTAGGCCCAGATAAAGTCCATGCTTGACTCTGGAAGCCAGAATTGGTCCAGTCATGTACCGTAATTCACTGCAGCATGTGGGCCATGCAAAAACCAAAAGATATTATGCTATGTGGGCACTAACTATGATTAGGGTGTCATTAAAGTTCATGTGAAAAGACAGATTTGTTTAGTGTAAAGTCAATGGAGTGTATTGGTTTCAATACCTGGTGAGTAAATTACTGCTGCAGAATTTCCATTTTTGGGTGAACCAAAAACTCTGTGTTGCTAGCATTCTAAACCTAAACATATCATTTACATTGTTTTTGGCCGTAGAACTGCATTCCTCATCTAAACCCCCTGATTGATCAGTTCATTAACAAATAATCCTTGGGTATGGCAGAGGGGGCTTACACGAAGGGTCAGATAACCCTGCCCTTCACTGATTTTAAGTTTTGGGTGTATCCACATTTACACCATTACAACTTGTTTGGCAGGCACTTCTGTGGATTGACTAGCTGCCAAAAATTCTCTAAGAATGTGTATGAAAGAATGTGTGTTTGAGTATGTCAAGATTAAAGTGACACGCCTTTGTCATGAAGACATGTAATTAGTTTAGAAATAAATTGACATCTGTCCATACAGCTCTTCATATGAATTGATTTACGAAAGTCTCTTACATTTGAATAATGGGATGTTAAAACAGAATAAGTAGGTAAACTAGTTGCATTTAAGCAATGAACACTTGACAGTAAAGGCCATAGTTAGCACTTATGGTATTTATTGTGTTTCAAAACAACATATTCCAGACCATACAAACTTAATAAATACATTTAATTGATTAAAACACAATTTTATATTACAATGTTAGAGATTAACAGACCAAAAAAGACACTTTAGCAGTATTTATCCTGAAAAATACATCTTTTACAATGTGTACATCTTAAAAAATACACTAGGAAGAGGATAAGGAAAAAGCTCCACTTTTCCCTCCCTGAGAACAGCCTGCTGTTAAATTAAAATATGCAATAATATTCCTGAGAAAGTATGCAATATCAAGATTATCTTTATATTGCCCGATACCATTATTTGTAATTGTGGTAGAATTATTTACCATGTAACAAAAATACACTTTCTATTTGTTTAATTTGTTACAGTGTGTTTCATGATAAAAACATAGTTCTGTTGATATATGATTAAGGCATCTGTAGGAAAAACTTGAATAATTTTGACATTATAATGAGGCATGCTGCTTGTAGTAAACTTGATTCAATCTTTAATCCACTTGAAGCTGTTGTTACTGCTACTGTTGTTGCTGCTGTTGTCGCTGAAGCTGCAAAAAAAGATCAGCAAATTAGAGGGAATCTTCTTTAATGTCAGTTATCAACCATATTTGCATCATTCCAGTCAAAAAGCAAGCACAAATATAGATAGTTATTGACGTGTCGACAAATAAAATGTTAAAAATTTCCACAACAGTAAAGTTATTGAAGGCTGTAATAGACTGTAATACAGCTTACCTGTACCGTTGACTGAAATTGACTGAGGAATTATGTTCAGTTGATTGATTTGTCCTGCAACCGCTGCTGCCAGGAGTGTGTTTGAAATCTCTTGAGTGGTTGGGTTGGATTCGCTGTAGGTGAAAGTGAGCCGTGTAAAAGTAACGACTGACCCGCTTCTGAAAAATAAAATGTTATACAAGAATATTTTATGCAATCATGTTACAAACTCTGTTTGCTGTCCCCCTAAGGCCCCGGTATACTTTAAGCTAATTTATTTTTAGTTCTTTGTTTGAGGATAAAAAATAAGTTAAAATAGGTGTAGTGACTGTATACGGTATGATGGTATGCTGCAGTAGTTGTAAATTTGCCACCTTGCTCGCATGTACCCTTAAATACATCACACCACAGTGGCTCTTAACCGCCATTGTCACATGTTTTTCTATATGTCACGCACAGACACCAACTAACAAAATGATGTGACGCGACGACGTGGGTTTCTCATCTGGTCTGACAACCCATCCAAGTCTATAAAATCTCTTCAAAATCAATTGTACAGGTGCGGATATATCTGTTGCAGCTCAGCTACTTGACTCTCTAATGTATTTATGTGGCCAATGCTGTTCTCCTGTCTGACCCCCGTGGAACAAAAAGAAATCAAGTGGGAACAATTGCAGGTCAAAGAAGTCAGATTTCCAGAAGAAACCAACTGATTGCAAAAAAGTTTGCTTTTGTAAGCTGTTTTAAAGTGCCAAAACGAACTAAAAAGAACTTCTTTTGGCCAGATTTTGTTCAAATATGAGGTAATTTCAGTTTATTGTTAAATTAGTTTGAAGTATACCAGAGCCTTTATTCCCTTGCTTCCTGTTTCATACACAGTGTACATAAAATATGAGAATCACAATAAAAAGTATTTACTTGAATCCTGTGACTTCGGCTTTCTTGAAGTTTGAATACTTCGCTCTGTAGATTGGTTCAATCTGAAAAACATAATAGAAAAATAAAGAGATTAATTCAATTACAATAAAAAGAGACAGTAGGATAATATATGAGGGTCAGTTACATAGTTGCTTTATCTTTTGTTAATAATGAGTTTAAATATCAAGAAAAGAATCAGTAGTGTGTTGTAGTAAATAGATTTAACTCACCTCAGCCCTGACATTGTTAGCTCTTGTCTGGTACTCCTGAGAGGTTGGGTCATTGAGTGCAGCTGTAAATGTGTCAGAGGAGCTAAACTGCAGTAATGTTACTGTATCAGGTTGTTGTGCAGTTGTGGACGCTGTAGATGCTGTAGTAGATGTAGATGTAGATGTTGAGGACACTGTAGATGCTGCAGTAGCACTAGATGGTGAGGTCGCTGTAGATGCAGATGACACTGCACTTGTAGAAGCTGTAGATGCTGAGGACACTGCACTTGTAGGAGCTGTAGATGCTGAGGACACTGCACTTGTAGGAGCGGAGGATGGTGATGACACTGCACTTGTAGAAGCTGTAGATGCTGAGGACACTGCACTTGTAGAAGCTGTAGATTGTGAGGACACTGCACTTGTTGAAGCTGTAGATTGTGATGACACTGCACTTGTAGAAACTGTAGATGCTGAGGACATTGCACTTGAAGAAGCTGTAGATGGTGTGGACACTGCACTTGTAGATTGTGAGGACACTGCACTTGTTGAAGCTGTAGATGGTGAGGACACTGCACTTGTAGAAGCTGTAGATGGTGAGGACACTGCACTTGTAGAAGCTGTAGGTGGTGAGGACACTGCACTTGTAGATTGTGAGGACACTGCACTTGTAGAAGCTGTAGGTGGTGAGGACACTGCACTTGTAGAAACGGTAGATGCTGAGGACACTGCACTTGTAGATGCTGTAGGTGGTGAGGACACTGCACTTGTAGATTGTGAGGACACTGCACTTGTAGAAGCTGTAGGTGGTGAGGACACTGCACTTGTAGAAACGGTAGATGCTGAGGATACTGCACTTGTAGAAGCTGTAGATTGTGAGGACACTGCACTTGTAGAAACGGTAGATGCTGAGGACACTGCACTTGTAGATGCTGTAGGTGGTGAGGACACTGCACTTGTAGATTGTGAGGACACTGCACTTGTAGAAGCTGTAGGTGGTGAGGACACTGCACTTGTAGAAACAGTAGATGCTGAGGACACTGCACTTGTAGATGCTGTAGGTGGTGAGGACACTGCACTTGTAGATTGTGAGGACACTGCACTTGTAGAAGCTGTAGGTGGTGAGGACACTGCACTTGTAGAAACGGTAGATGCTGAGGATACTGCACTTGTAGAAGCTGTAGATTGTGAGGACACTGCACTTGTAGAAATGGTAGATGCTGAGGACACTGCACTTGTAGATGCTGTAGGTGGTGAGGACACTGCACTTGTAGATTGTGAGGACACTGCACTTGTAGAAGCTGTAGGTGGTGAGGACACTGCACTTGTAGAAACAGGGGACACTGCACTTGTAGAAGCTGTAGATTGTGAGGACACTGCACTTGTAGAAGCTGTAGATGCTGATGGCACTGCACTTGTAGAAACGGTAGATGGTGAGGACACTGCACTTGTAGAAGCAGTAGATGGTGAGGACGCTACACTTGTAGATGCTGTGGACACTGCAGGCGATGAAGCTGTTGACTGTGAGGACACTGCACTTGTAGAAGATGTAAAAAGTGAAGACACTGTAGCTGTAGAAGATGTAGACAGTGAGAACAGTGCAGCTGATGAAGCTGTAGATGGTGAGGACACTGCAGTTGTAGAGGCTGTAGATGCTGAGGACACTGCAGTTGTAGACTCTGTAGTTGGTGAGGATACTGCAGTTGAAGAGGCTGTAGTTGGTGAGGACAATGGAGTTGTAGAAGCTGAACTTGCTGAGGATACTGCAGTTGTAGACCCTACAGTTGCTGAGGACACTGCAGTTGAAGAAGCTGTAGTTGCTGAGGACACTGCAGTTGAAGAAGCTGTAGTTGGTGAAGACGCTGCAGTTGTAGACACTGTAGTTGCTGAGGACACTGCAGTTGAAGAAGCTGCAGTTGGTGAAGACGCTGCAGTTGTAGACACTGTAGTTGCTGAGGACACTGCAGTTGAAGAAGCTGCAGTTGGTGAAGATGCTGCAGTTGTAGACCCTGTAGTTGCTGAGGACACTGCAGTTGAAGAAGCTGTAGTTGGTGAAGACGCTGCAGTTGTAGACCCTGTAGTTGCTGAGGACACTGCAGTTGAAGAAGCTGTAGTTGGTGAAGACGCTGCAGTTGTAGACCCTGTAGTTGCTGAGGACACTGCAGTTGAAGAAGCTGTAGTTGGTGAAGTCACTGCAGTTGAAGAAGCTGTAGTTGGTGAAGACGCTGCAGTTGTAGACCCTGTAGTTGCTGAGGACACTGCAGTTGAAGAAACTGTAGTTGGTGAAGACGCTGCAGTTGTAGAAGCTGTAGTTGGTGAGGTCACTGCAGTTGAAGAAGCTGTAGTTGGTGAAGACGCTGCAGTTGTAGAAGCTGTAGTTGGTGAGGTAACTGCAGTTGAAGAAGCTGTAGTTGGTGAAGACGCTGCAGTTGTAGACCCTGGTGTTGCTGAGGACACTGCAGTTGAAGAAATTGTAGTTAGTGAAGACGCTGCAGTTGTAGACCCTGTAGTTGCCGAGGACACTGCAGTTGAAGAAGCTGTAGTTGGTGAAGACGCTGCTGTTGTAGACCCTGGTGTTGTTGAGGACACTGCAGTTGAAGAAACTGTAGTTGGTGAGGACACTGCAGTTGTAGAAGCTGTAGTTGGTGAGGTAACTGCAGTTGTAGAAGCTGTAGTTGGTGAGGACACTGCAGTTGTAGAAGTTGTAGTCTCTGTAGACACCGAGGACACTGCAGGTGTAGAGGCTGTGGAAACTGTGGACACTGTAGAAACCGTTGATATTGTAGAAGGAATGGTTGTTGAGCTGACTAATGTAAATGTAGATGATTGTGATGCTGTACTACTGGTGGATATTCCGGAAGTTGTTGTGGAGGATCCAGTTGATGTTGCAGTAGTTTGTGATGCTGTTGTAGCAGTGGTGGATGATCCAGTCGTTGTAGGTGTTGTAAGTGTAGTCTGTGGTGTCTGTGTAGTAGAGGTGGATGTTTCAGTTGTGGCTCCTGATGATGTGGAAGCTGTTGTGTTCTGAGCTGTTGCACTTAGAAAATGCACTGCTATAAAAAGATATTAAATATAGTGTACTGTTAGTTTGCACATTCATATGTAACACCTAAGCAAATTTATTTGTTTCACTCATAATAGGCTAATTAATTCTTTTTCTAGGTATGATATAAAATGTTTTTTGCTTGACTTACCAAAAAAAGTGCAAAATGTTATTAAACTTTTTCTCTTCATTCTGGAAAGTGGCCCACAGCAAACAGAGTCTGCAATGTAAGCAATACACAAAGTTTACACACATAAACACACTGGGTGATCATGGATTATGAAGATCTTTAATACACAATATTATTCTTATATAAATGATCTGTCCAATTGTTTAGTCTGTAAGTAATTTGATAAATACGATTAATTCAAAAAGGCTGATGCATTTAGACGTAAATGTCTATGTTTAGTGTTGTTGTGAGTATGTTTGACTAATTTATTTGCGGATTCTGAATTTTATATTACATTTATTTATTTATTTATTTATTTATTTATTTATTTATTATTATTATTATTATTATTATTATTATTTTAAATGAGTGATGTTAGATGAATCATTTTGTTGATTACTATCCCTTTAGTAACATAGAAAAAACTGAACCAGTTTAATAGCAACTATGTCGCTGACACATTGATATCTACAAACCTAATACTAAATATTATATTTTGTCTGTTATTTTCATATTTTGACAGTTTCCAACTTTTATGAACTTTGAGATATTAAAAAGAATGTATGAAAAAAAAAAAACGTTTGACACTTTTGAATTAAGTTATATACAGTATAGCATGATATACTGGTTTATTCCCATATGTTCATTAAGTTTTATTTCTGATTAAGTAATAATCAACAATTATTATTAATGAATAATGAATTATAATTAACAATTTAAAGTACCCTGTAAAAAAACAACAACTTTATTTTATGGCAGGTAGAGTGCTGGAAAAACAAACAAAATTAATGGCCTGTAAATTACAGACATTTACCATAAAATAACAGAAGGTAAATACAGAAATTTACCGGAAATTTAAGGAAATTTCTGTAATTTAAAAACAATTATTTTATGGTAAATGTCTATAATTTAATGGCCGTTATTTTTTCAGTGTTTATTCCAACTAAATTTTTATTTCCCAAACTTTCTTATGGCTTTTTAATATTAAACACTGGTTTTGTCATGATAGTTGACATAAACTAGGGTTAAAAATAAAGATTCTTTGTCACAGGGTGTCTGTTGGGTCTTAAAAAGTCTTAAAAATGTCTTGCATTACAAAAAATAAATGTTCAGGCCTTAAAAAGTCTTAGATTCCCTGAAATATTGAGTTGTAGGTCTTAAATGGTTTTAAACAGGCCCTAATTTCCCTATGTCCAGGTAAAGCTACCCTATTAAGCCGACACCTAATCACCAATAATCCATCTCAAAACTTTTTTTATATTTAGGTTTTACATTTTAAAGATAGACAATTCACAACAGCTGTTTGACATTTTTTTTTGCAAATTCTACAAATTAAATTAACTAATCAGGGAAAGAAAACTAAAGCAACAAATTCCTTTACATCATAGGTCTCAAACTAAATTCCTGGAGGTCCACAGCTCTGCACAGTTTTGATCCAAACCATCTATAGGTGTTAAAAAGAGTCATGAACACCTTCATTAGTTGGATCAGCTGTGTTCAGTCAGGGTTGGAGCAAAACTGTGCAGAGCTGTGGACCTTCAGAAATTGAGTTTGAGATCTATGCTTTACATTATCTTCCATTAATACAAACACTATTTACAGAACTAGCTTGCCCGTTATAAAAAATCTTTACTTTTAGCCCTGTATAAGACTAAAATTTCACTGATAATGGTCTTAAAAAGTCTTAAATTTGATTTGAAGAAACCTACAGAAATCCTGTGTAAGCATTTCCATGGCACAAAAGTTATTATTTTTTTAATAATAAAAAAAGGTTCTTAGGCTTTGCTCACACAAAAAAAGGAGCTGATTACTGAACATTTACTTGGAAAACTATAATTGGTCTTCAATGACATAATAGCTAAATTAGAAATTTGGCTTTTACCGTCCTTATTTTTGTAAGTGTATAGTTGCAACACAATCTCATAGCAATTTGTACCTTTTTGATTTAGTGGTTTATTCATATGAATTTGACAATTTCATTTGTACAATTTAGTATTATTTGCTTATCCCCCAATTAAGGTTGGCTTTTCGGGTGGGGTTTGGTGCCACACCTCCTTTTTAAAATTGTACATTAGCCACTAAACTGACAAACATAAAAAAATTTTGTTTCCTTGATGTTTGTCACTTTCTAATCAGCATCAAATTGAATTGAAATTGATCTGTAAATAGAATATCATTTTTATAGCTGCAGTTTTTTGTTATTGCTTAAATAATCTTACCAGGTATGTTTTTTATAAAATATATTCAACTCAGTACACAGACTTCTGACATTTTTGTTGACACAAACTTTGATTTTAGAATATTATTACTGTACATACTATTGCTTTTTATGCCGGTAAAAAAATATTATATGATCCTGATCTATTATATGATCATATCTTATAATATCATCTTATGTAGTCTTATTATATTTATCCTCATATAAAATATTATACTGTATAATATGTTAATAAATTGATATTATATAATATTAGGATTTAATATTGTCCCTATTGCTGTATCCAACTACTTGTATATAATATAATATAATATAATATAATATAATATAATATAATATAATATAATATAATATAATATAATAATAAATTGTGGCATCACAAAAGAAAAATGTACCTTTATTTTTATACTGCATTTTCTAATAAATTAAATTAGGATTAATACATAAACAGAATATCATTCTCTTGCATCTGTTTCTTGAAAATGCTTAAATATTCTGACCACGTATATTTCTTTCATTTTATTCAATCAACTCATTACACAGACTACTACAGTTTTCTGACAAAAGACAGAATCTGTTAAAATTTTTGCTACATTTTACAAATTTTCAGTTAAATAAAATGATATAAAATCATTTAATAATGTCTCTTGACATTTTGAGGTAATTAATATAATATAATATAATATAATATAATATAATATAATATAATATAATATAATATAATATAATATAATATTCATTCATTTTCCTTATATATAAAAGTGTAATTAACACACATATATTAAGTGAAATAAAATGTACTTACCGGTCTTTGAGAAGATATTTTATACCGAACACCCTTATTGGTAATCCGCTGTGGCCTCAGTATCTATTAGTAAAGTCCTGCTGGTTATTCTGTGCTGCAGTTTTCCACCTTTCCTGAAGCACCTGTGGTGCTGCTCTTAAATACCACCCAATGACGTCCAAATCGTGTTTTTCCTGAATGATATGCACAGATAGCACAGTCGCCGTGACGGTATGTGTGTGTTTTGTATTGTGACTAAATCGAAGAATTGTCTGGTATGCTCAAGCAAAATGTATTCATAGAAACCATTAGATAACCTGATAAAATCCCATAATAATTTCACATTTTAATTTGATAGTTTTTTTTTTAAATCAATATTTATTCCCCTCTAATTACACAGTATTTTAAATCCATCCCAATTTTGCGAAACAATTCTTACACATGTTTAATCGACATTAGGATAAATATTTGTGAGGAAAAAATGGAGAGTTTAGATGCAAAAACCTCTAAATGCCGTCTAAAAAATTTTTTTATCAGGCTCCTGAAAGTAGGATCAGTAATATCACTTTTATGGCAAAGAATAATTCCCTTTTGCTCTTTAAAGATAAATAACTCAACATAAACAAAAGAGGCTGAGAAAATGTTTAATTTTCATTGGAAATTTCAGACGGTACTTATTATAATAAATATTTAACATCTATTACAAAGCCATAACCAGTTCATCCATAACAGCCAAAAAAAAGCTGTTTTAACGAATTAGCCTACTTAAATGTGTAATGACTAAACTATGAACCGATTATCATGCAGAGAGTTTCTTTTTAAGGAACATGCGTCAACTGATCATGACTACTAAACATAAGGGATGTCAAAAGAAGCCAACACAAAAGGCACCAGGTTTACCGGAGCATTCCTGACATTCCTCACACATTCACAGACCCTTTGGCGATTGAACTGGTCGGTGAAGTATCTGTGATGAATAGATAGCACAGATATATATAGCTGTACATATATAAGATGTATATTTATGACCCTTATAATATCTGACAGATATAACTTGTGATTATGGCTGGAAAATAAGCGGGTTTCCGAGCAAAATGCCGACATTCGTAAACTCTTAAACGGCTAATAATTGAAGTGAATATATTTATTTAGAAAATCCATAACATGAAAGTAAGATTTAGACAATTATTCGTATAATAATGCGGACAGTGTTTTGATTAACTTGATTTATTAATGAACTCCCTAAAAACGCGTGTCTATTTTAAAAGAATATTCTTCAAATGAGTTGGCCAATAAAAAGTCTAAATCACAAAGGAGGCGTTGAATCACATTAAGATGCTATTCAAAACGCCAGTAAGTTATAAGTGGGCTATAATAAAAACCTAAGTGCGTTCATTTTATTTTAAGTGTCATCCCCTTAGAACGTCAAACGAAGTAAGTTGTCATTCTTCTCATTACAATCAAGTCTACGTAATGAATAAGCTATGGGCGCGGTGGGTGGTACAGGTAAACACCCTGCACACTGATGCAACACTTTTTTCTTAACTCTAGTGATGTTGTGAGATTTTTTCGATAAACAACTCTACGCAAGAAAGAATGAAAAGACGTGCATTTGAAAAGACATT